CTTACACACATGTAACAAACAACTACCATGACAGCTTAGAAGCTGTCCCAATAATTCACCTATTATAAATAGGTCTGCAGCGCCAAAAATTCACCACCATTCATTATTATCTCATATTCGCCCATATTCTAAAAATGTCAAAATATTCGACAAAATTTGAAGTATCCTACATGGTGGATATCGGTGAATACTTACGGATATTGTTAGATACATTGGGATATTTGAATTTTTATGAGATTTTAAGAATGAAGTTAAATTTTGGTACATAAATACGCGCGGAATCCCCCTAGATAGATTATAAAATAGACTAATACAATTTTCAACAGTCTTGGCACAAATTTGAAAAACAACACACCTCCCCCCTCCCATCGGAAAAATCAGAACCTCAATAAAATTTCTAACATTGATAATTGCCAAAACTTTAGCTTCAGCTAAATAAAAAGCATTAAAGAGAGTTCAAGCATATACTAAAGACTGAAATGTTTAAAAAGTGCCACGATTAGGCGCATTTTTTGGTATGAAAGCATTTGCCACATGTTTTGTGTGATCAAGTTATTTTAAATTATGCCTTAAATTTCGAATTTATTTTAATCTGTGATAATTACCAAAGGTACTCTCCGCTTCCTTTAGAAGATTAGCTGTATAATTGTGACCTGAAATGATTTGTGATTAAGGACGTGATTGAGATGTTTTCAATTTAAAATTGTATGGTCAAATTACCTTTTCCGACAGCCCATCCACGTGGAGTTTCATTACTTTCAACAGTTCTAACGAAAAGATTTGCACCCTTTTCTATCAATAATTTAACGATTTCAATTTGATCTGAAACGACATCCAATCAAACACAATTTTAGCGACATTGGTTAATATTACTTTTCCGCACACACCTAGTGTGTAAGGTAAAGTGTTGGAATCGGTCGAAAAATTAACATCCATCAAAAATGTGTTTTTTTGGATGTTTTCGAGGTCAGGGAACACGAATTTAGCGTTTTTTTGATGTCCAAATGTATGTGCGTACCCTGTACGCTGTACGCTGTACGCAAAAATTTGTTAATACGATAACTTTCAAACAAGAAAAGTAATTCAAAATCTGATTTCTTAGGATGATTGGGGGTGCCGAGGAATAAAAACCATTAGATTTTGAGCGACTTTGGTTGATAGAGTGAAGTGTCATGTCTGGTGTGATGCCCATGGAAAAAATCAATTTTACTTTTCCGCACACCTAGTGCAGGAAAGGTATTGTATTAGGCCAAAAAAATAAAGTCATCCCAAAACATGTTTTCTATGCATATTTAATGTAGAAAACACGATTGGAGATGATTTTGGGGCATATTAATGTGCGTCGCTGTGTGTGATGTGTCCTGTGTCCTGTGGCGTGTTGCCAAAATGTGTTAACTCGATAAATCTTCTTCCAAAAACTCAATTCAAATTCTGACTTTGCAGGATGATTTGGGACTACTAGGAGACATGCTGATTAGTTTTCGAGTAATATCTGTTGACCGGTGTAATTTTTTTTGGTCCGAATGGAGTAACCACAATCCATACATTTTACTTTTTTTGATCATTTTTCAACCATTTTGGTGACCAGATGGTTTCGTAATCAGACATGAAATTCAAAATCTGACTTTACGGGATGATTGGACACTACGAGGAATAGATCTGGTCAAATTTTCAGCAACATTGATTGATCAGTGTAAAACTTAGACTCTGAAGAGGCACTTATGTCGATAACTTTCAAAATGTCGGCTTTTTGTGAACAAAATAGCCTCTGCAAAGTTTCACGTCGTTCATACATTCATTGATTTCATACTAAAATTTCCATTTTTAGTTATTTTTGTATAAAAAGTGTGTCAAACTAATGTCAGATTCAGTTTTCTCGTGAATTCAAATTATCGTAAAAGACATGTTATAAATGCATGTTGTGGATCACAGTGCGGAAAAGTTCATCTTATGGATGTAAGACATTTTATTTTTAAATGCAAGACGAACGTTTATGTTCATCAACTTTATCTCAAAAGGCTCTATTTCCTAGCGTCCGATTTGCGTCCGATTGTAATCGTGTACGATTTTTTTTGATCGTCTCCGATGTTTTCAAAATCGGCGAATGAATCGGTCGCCGATTGCGAACAAATCCTTCGCCGGATAAGATCGTGAACGTTCTATAACAATCGTCAGATGATTCAAATCGTACACGATTACAATCGGAAATAATACACAGAAACAGAATTAAGTAAGAAAGTTTCATACAAATCGAAACTTATTTCAATAAGTGAACAATTACCTCCATAAGCAGCCCAGTGAAGTGGTGTGAGTTTCATAGGAGTTTCAGCATCTACGTTGGCACCTTTTTCGATAAGATATTTGGCTATATTTGTATAGCCTAAAAAGCATGAAAAGTAATGAAAATAAACTTTATTGAAACGTATTGATCTTCTTTATTTGCAAAAATAAACAATTACCTCTCCTAGCAGCGTAGTGAAGTGGGGTTTCTTTCAATTCATCTGCAACGTTCACATTCGCTCCATGCTCAATTAGAAATTTAACTAGATCTGTATTACCTAAAAAACATGAAAAGTAATGGGAATAAACTTTATTGAAACGTATTGATCTTCTTTATTTGCAAAAATGAACAATTGCCTTTATCAGTAGCGCTATGAAGTGGTGTTTTATCCGCAAAATTTGCAACGTTCACATTCGCTCCATGCTCGCTTAGATAGTGAACTACATCTGTATGACCTAAAAAGCACGAAAAGTAATGGAAATACACTTCATTGAAACACATTTCTTCTCAATTTGGAAAAATTACCAATTACCTTTATCAGCAGCCCAGTGAAGTGGCGTTCTTTTGAGATTATCTTTAGCGTTTACGTTGGCTCCTTGATTGATTAGAGCTTTGACTTTATCTATGTCACCTAAAAAGTACGAAAATTGATGAGATTAAACTTTTATTCCTTCTTATTTTGGAAATTTGTAGAACGACCATTCTCAGCTGTATTATGAAGTGGAACATTATGTACCCTATGGGACGCAATTGAATTGTACCAATAATAATATTTCAATTT